GAACTATGTTTAGACTTTAAGTAAATCCACAAGGCACTAAGTTACTGTTTGTAACAAATGCTTTTTTACAAGAAAACTTTCTAGTACTTTTTTTTTTTAATGTTTTATTGTGAATTATGAGATAGTTTACACGGGAGAACGAACATTAGCTTTACATTCATCCTATCGTATATCGTTACATTGCCATGGTTACAATCCCCTCCATGCATCATCAACCAACCAAAGGGTGGTCGTCAGCACACAGCCCATCTCCCTCTCTGTGTCTGAAGTCCCCAACTGCTCCATCTCTCCACGTCATCGTCTCTGCCTTCATCTCTGGGTAGGGTCCCACTCTCCACTCTTCTCCCTTGATGGTCCCAGGGACCTCCGCTTCTAGGCTCAAAAGTTAATCACTCCCCTCCCTGCTGCAAAACGTCTACCTTTACATTTCCAACCCTTACAATCAGTCCTGATAACAATTATTCACTGTTGTATCACAAGAGACCTATCCTCATCGCCTTTCCTTAGTCCCTCTAGTGCTTTTTAAATAAGCTTTTTGATAAGTCATTAATCTGGGAAGCATCAAGGCCATAATAAACTTGTGAATAAATTCAAGTGTTTTATTTAAATCGGTGTTTGTTATGACTCATAAATACTTCACATTTTTAACAACAAAGAAATAGAAAGATTCTAAAACAATTGACAATCAAGGGAAATCATAGATTAATTCAAGATATAAAGTACAAAGTGTTGAGATTTTAAAAGCCTAAACATACAAAAATATGTATAATTGATTATTAGCGAACTAGCAATAATTTAAATCAACACAAGAATAAAAATATTTGACTACATGAAATGAAAGTTTTCTGATTGATAAGGAATGCATCTAAACTAAAAGGCAAAAAAGAAACAACAACAATTAATTTTAAAAAAAGCTCATATGAGCTAAGTCAAAAAGTATTGCTATACAGTCATAGAAACCTTAATGAAACAGAATGCAAAACTGCTGTTTCTAGACATATCCTCCTTCTAGGCTTATATACTTCTGCCGCTGGTTATTTCCATCTCTCTAGCCCTTTCCTAAATAATCTGCTCTTTGATGTACACCACATAAGAATGGCGATTTGGGCATCCTCAAGGGACTCAAATTGTGCTGTTTGAAGTCTTCTTTGAGTTTGGGGAACAAAACAAAGTCTGCAGGGGCAAGATCAGTACTGTAGGCTCTATCGAGTATGGTTCCCCAACTAATTCTTACAGAACAGCTGTTGTTACTCTCAAACAGTGAGCCAGGTGCAGTGATGTGACCAAAAAAACTCCTTGGTTCAACTCTCCTGACCTCTCTGATCCAGTGCTGTTTTCAGTTTTCTTAAAACTTCTTTGTACTAAGTCCCTATATTCGTCCTGTGACTTTTAAGAAAATCCATTAAGTCTCCCACTTTGGAATCCCAAGAAACATTCACTGCAATCTTCTGCTCTGACCTCTCTGCCTTAAATTTAACTGACCCAGCAGACCCCCTCAGAAGCTGTTGCTTGGATTGGACCTTTTATTATTTGGAAGGCACCCTAATGACAAGACTAAAACAAGTGTATTACCAGGAGAACTTGACTGCAGCCATCCACTGAATATGAGACATGTTTAAGTATGTTTGTTTGGAATAAACCTAGGCATGTATGAAAACAGTGGAAATATTTTTTTACTTAGTGGTTATGAGTCTGACTGCTAACCTCAATGTTGGCAGTTCAAAACTATCAGTCACTCCGTGGAAAAAAAATAAGGCTTTCTGCTCCTGTAAACAGCCTCGGAAACCCTGTGCAGGGTCACTATGAGTCATAACTGACCCCATGGCACACCACCACCACTAGTTAGCCATAAACACTAACCCGCAATGTTGGTTTGAACCACAGGGTCAGCAGTTTGAACTCACCAGCCACTCCTTGCAACCCCTATACAGGATTGCTATGAGTTGGAACTGACTCAACAGCACTTAACAACAACAAGTTAAACAATACTTTTTGACTCGTCTTTTAAAAAATGTTCAAACCCTAATTAATTAAGTGAGGGAAGGAAAACAGTTCATACAAGAGAGAATATAAATGCAAATCAAGTTATTAAGCCTCCTTTACAACTGTTTTGAAAAATTGTTAATACTCTACACTGTTAAGGACATAGTAATTGGTTCAGTTATTTTTGATTCCTAGCATCGAACCATAAGATAAAGATAATGGAGAAGCTCAATATGATCAGGCAAAACAAAGCCAGGGGTCAACTATGGAACAGACCATCAATTACTGACATGTAAATTCAAGCTGAAGAAAATTATAACAAGTTCATGAGTGCCAGAATATGATTTTGAGTATAACCCTTCTGAATTTTGAAACCATGTCAATAACAGATTAGATGCGTTAGACACTAATGACTGCAGACCAGAAGAGTTGTGGGGTGACATCAAGAATTTCATCCATGAATAAAGCAAAAGATCATTAAAAAGACAGGAAAGGAAGAAAAGACTGAAATAGATATCAGAATAGATGCTGAAACTTGCTCTTGTGCATAGGGAAGTTAAAGCAAATGGGAGAAATGAGGACGTAGACAAGCTGAACAAAAAACTTCAAAGGGAAGCTTGAGAAGACAAAGTCAAGTATTATCGTGAAATGTCCAAAGACCTGGAATTAAAAAACTAAAAGGAAAGAACACACTCACCATCTGTCAAGCAGAAAGAGTTGATGAAAAATTTCAAGCCTTGACTTGCAAGATTAAAGGATTCTATAGGCAGATATTGAATAATTCAGAAAACATCAAAAGAAAATGGAAGGAATACACACTTTGTTAAAAAAAATTGGTCAGTATTTTACCATTTCAAGAGGTAGAAGCATACATCAACAATCAGTGATTCTGAGGGTTGAAATTCAAGCTACACTGAAAACATTGGTGAAAATCAGGATATCAGGAATTGATGGAATGCCAAATGAAATCCTTCAACAAACTGATGCAGCACTGGAGGCACTCACACATCTATGCCAATAATTTAGAAGACAGCTAGCTACCAGGCCAACTGATTGGAAGAGATCCATGTATGTGCCCATTCCAAAGAATGATGACCCAATGGAATGTGGAAATCATGGAACAGTATCATTAATATCAAATGCAAATAAAATTTTGCTAAAGATAATTAAAAAACAGTTGCAGCAGTACATGGACAAGGAACCACAAAAATTCATGCCAGACTCAGAAGAGGACGTTGAATGTGGGGTGTCATTGCTAATGTCAGAGGGATCTTGACTTAAAACAGGGAATACCAGAAAGATGCTTACTTGTGCTTTATTGGCTCTGCAGAGTCATTCAGCTCTGTGAATAATAACAAACCATGTATAGCATTGCTAAGAATGAGGGTTCCAGACACTTAATATAGTGCTCATGAGGAACCTTTATCTAGACCAAGAGGCAGTCATTTGAACAAAACAAGGAGACTGATAGTGAATGGTTTAAAATCACAAAAAGTGCGATTCAAGATTGTATCTTTTTATCATAGTTATTCAGTGTGTTTGCTGAGTAAAATAATCTGAGAAGGGGGATTATATGAAGAAGGTGGCATCAGGATGGAGGAAACCTAATTAACCTGTGACATGTAGGTATTAGAGTCCTGGTGTGGTGCTATGGGTTAATGCACCAGACTGCAAAGCCGTTTGAACTTCAAGGTCGGTGGTTCAAGCTCACCAGCTGCTCCTCGGAAATCCTATACAGGGTCGCTATGGGTTGGAATCGACTCGATGGCACTTAAAAACAACAACAACAACATGCTTGCTGAAAACCAAGAGGACTTGAACTGCTTACTGATGAAGATCAAAGGTGCAGCGGCCTTCAATATGGGCACCTCAATGTATGTAAAGAAAACAGAAATCCTCACAACTGGGCCAATAAATAATAGCATCATGATAAATGAAGAAAAGATTTAAGTTGTTAAAGTCTTAGTTATACTTGGATCCACAATTAACACTCAGTGGAAGCAGCAGTAAAGAAATCAAATAACATACTCCATTAGGCAAGTCTGCTCCAAAAGATTTGTTGAAAGTGTTGAAGACCAAAGATATCAGTTTGAGGACTAAGGTGTGCCGCATCCAAGCCATGGTCTTTTCAATCATCTGATAGTCATGTGGAAGTTGGACAATGAGTAAGGAGACTGTAGAAGACTCACTGCATTTGATATATGGTGTTGGTGAAAAATGTTGAAAGTACCATGGACTGCCAGGAATACAACTCTGTCTTGGAATAAGCACATCCAGAATGCTCCTTAGAAGCCAGGATGACAAAACTCTGTCTCGTGTACTTTGGACATGTTATCAAGAGGAACCAATTCCTGGATAAGGACATCATGTTTGTTAAAGTGGAGGGTCAGTGTAAATGAGGAAGACGCATCCCCCGTCCCCCTGCAAGGAGACGGATTGGGACAGTGACAACATCAATGGGTTCAAGCATAGCAGCAATTGTGGAGATGTTACAGCACCAAGCCATATTTCATTCTTTGTGCATAGGGTCGCTATGAGTCAGAACTGACTTAACGGCATCTAACAACAACACGCATCTTAAAATGATACTAAATCTTTAAAATTTTTTGTTTAATTTTAAACCTCAGAATCCTAAAGAAATGATTTTTAAAATGGAAATGAAAAGAAAGGAAGCAGCTTATATGATTATATTAAACAATAAAGCTTGATCAAATAAGTTAAGATTTTTTTTAACCCAATGGAGCATGACTTAATGATTAACATGATTATTATGAAAATAATGGTAAAATAAAGCAGTGTCATGAAATATTGCTATTTGTGGTTATATTTGTCCTGCTCAATTCAGTTCTGTAAAATAAGTAAACATATGAATATTAACTGAAGTAGGATTATTGTATATTACTATTTTGTCTTATGTAGTATTTGTGTACTCATTAGAAAGAAAAAAATTAAGATTCCCTAAATGTTTTTTAATGGTTTTTTGTTTTCTTTTCTTTTCTTTCCTTTTTTAGCTGACTACACAGACTGCCTTATCTGTGTTTCTGTCTCCAGAGACATGACCTGACCCCTCATGACCAGTTTTGGGGCATTTGGGTGATTGGCTGGTGCACCATGGAACTTAAAGTCTGGGTGGATGGAGTTCAGAGGATTGTGTGTGGGGTCACAGAAGTCACAACTTGCCAGGAGGTTGTAATTGCCTTAGCTCAAGCCATAGGTAAGCCATTGAACTCCTTGGGGGTCCTGTAAGTATTTTATGCTTTCTTTTGTTGTATTTTCACTTTTTATTTTGTTTGTTTTTTGAATATAAATCTCTTGATGGCTTTTGTTCATTTGGTTTTAGAATGCGTCCATCTCACAAGCACGGGTTACTTATTACATTCTCCTGCTTATTACAGCTCCCATGATGCTTTCTCTGGCTTCCTCCAGCTTTTTCTAATCTTGAGTACAGAGTCTGCACTGCTGTATGCTAGTGGTTTATCCTATTGTTTAAATAGTTGCAAATACTTTTTTAGAAAAGAAGTGCAGCAAATTAAATAGTTCTTCGCTGTAAATATAATACATACTTTTAAAATCTTCCTATGTAGTGAAGAAAAGAACTGTGGCTCTGAAGGATTATGCACTCTACTGCTGTCCACAAGGTCAGCCGTTTGAGCCCACTAGCCACTACACAGTAAAAAGATGAGGCTTTCTGCTCCCACAAAGATTACACACTCAGAAACTCTTTGCAGGGTCGCTATGAGTCGGAACCTACTGGGCAGCACTTAGCAACGGCATATAGTGAAAATGCAGTTGTTAAGCACATAGTTAACAAGTGACGTCTTTTGGCTCTATCTTTTTCTCCTACCATATTTCAACTTTTAAGCTTATCTTTATCTTATATTATGCTTTACCTCGTTGTGGAACATAGCAAGGACATCAACACCTACATCAGTAAATCAAGCAATATGGTTAGAGCTTACATTTTGTAACTTAAATCCATATTAAGTGGAAACTGTGGTCATCATTGTACGAGGTAATAAGTGCTTCTTTGTGTTTGAGTGCCTTATCAAAAGTTTATTTTATGTCTTTCTTGTTTATGTTGGAAACATGTCAAGTTAGTTTAGGATTAAAATGAGTCGCACTGTCCCATGGAACCCTACCATTTGATAGAAGTGGTTCTCCTACCTGCGTTGTAGCAGATGACCTGATACTGATATAAAGTGAGAAGATTTCATTTAACATGGACATCTTCCTCTTTTGACCGTTCCTTACATAGTTAGTATAGCACATTCTTGTATTAAAACAATACAGTGAGCTCTAGGCTTTCATAACTAATGAAATTTCCTTGCATTTGGGACTAATTTGGGGGATGGGTTTAATTATTAAAGAGATGAAAATTAAAGCATTTATATTTCATTTTTTCTTCTTCTCTACCAGCTTGTTTAGTAAATGCCCCTTCTAAAGAGAGCCCCATATAATTTATATGAATCAAAATATATAGCTTTGTTTGTTTAGTAAATAGTAGAATTAGAATAACAAACTTAACTTTTTGTTACATTTTAAAATCAAGCTATGGACAATGGTAAAAACAGTGAATACTTTTTACCAAAAGTCACAGTGGTTGAGTGGTACAGGAAACTGCATCATCCATATATATTTTCTATGTATAATTTCATGAGAGAAAAATGTCCATATGTACCAGGTATGTGTTTATCCATTGTAGCTAAAAAGTGTACCTGTTTGTGAACAATCTAAAAACAGTACTAACTGAATCTGCCCTTTCCCCCATTTTTTGTTTTCTCAATAATTCAGTCCAAGACCTCTCTTGAAAAGTTATCAGTTTGAATGCTGATGCTTTATGGTAGTCATCAAAACTTGGCTAAATACCTCTTTTTCTGTATCCTAAATATTTTATTGGATTTAGAATTCATGTGAGCGATAACTCAGCTGGCCAAAGCTATTGATCCCTGATTCTATTATGTAATAAGATTATCTCAACATAGAAGTTATGTTTCTTACATATACTTGAACATTTATCTGTCTTGTTATTTGAGTTACTGGTATTTAGGGTGTCAACACTAAATTAAAATATATAGAATTTTAACTTTATTTTTACTGAATGAAAAAATAGAAGGTATATTGTTGTTGTTAAGTGCTGTGGAGTCTATGCCGACGCATAGCGACCCTGCACAGGGTTTCTGAGGCTGTAAATCTTTATGGGAGAAGAATGCTTCATCTTTCTCCCACAGAATTGCTGGTAGTTTTGAGCTGCCGACCTTGAGGTTAACAGCCTGAGAAGGTATATTAATTACGAGACGTTGTTGTAACAAACAACCCCAGAATTTCCATGCTTTAGTTTAATAGAAGTTTACCTGTGTGGTCCTGGTATGGCTCTGTAGGATAAGCACTGGACTGCAATGTTGGTTTGAACCGCAGGCTCGGCAGTTCAAACTCACTACTCACCAGCCGCTCTTCGGAAACCCTGTACAGGGTCGCATGAGTCGGAACCTATCGACAGCACTTTACAGCAGCAACAATATTTGCACAGTACGGACCGACTGACCAAACCACAAATGATTCTCAAAGATTTATTGTGGACTGACTTCTCAGCATAAGTCCACATAGTTGCCCATATGGATGGGCACTTATGTATAAATTCTCAATTAGAGATTACTGGGGCTTTCTGGATAGCTACAATTATTTTTAGATAATCACAGAACTCTATCAGAATAGGAAAATGAGCACACAAATTGGTAGTCTACAAATATATGTTACCACTAACATTTTTTTCTGTATTCATCTTATTATCCATTCAGATATAAGAAAAGAAATAAAAGCAGAACTTGTAAATGTCGTACAATTGGTTTCCAAGGAGCAGCTGATGGATTTGAACCTGCAACTTTGTGATTCAAAGTACACTGCTTATCCTTGTTGTTATTGTTGTTGTTATAAAGTGCCATCAAGTCGATTCTGACCCATAGCGACCCTGTACAGGGCTTCCAAGGAGCAGCTGGTGAGCTTGAACTACCAACCTTGCAGTTCAAACGACTTTGCAGCCTGACTCATTAGCCCACAGCACCACACCAGGATTTGATAAAATATGCCTAATGTGTTTTTGTTTATTTTTTTAACTGTGGTGAAATATATACTATAAAACATTAATTCAGTGAAGTCTACATTTGTAATTCAGTGACATTAATTACATTCCTCAAAATTGTATTACCATTTTCACTATCCTTTTCCAAATTACTCTACCACCATCAACATAAACTCACTTTCCCCCTAAGCAGAAACTCTCCTTTACCCCTCCCCATTGCCCTGGTAACCATTAATCAGTATTGGTTACTGATATATACCAATATATATCAAAATATATTGGCTTATTTCATAGAAATGAAATCATAAAAATCTTAACTATTTGTCCTTTGTGAACAATTTTACTTGGCATAATGTCTTCAAGGTTCATCTGTGTAGCATTCATCGGGAATTAATTTCTCTTTCCAGTTGAATAATATTTCATAGTATATACATACCACATTTCATTTATCTATACATCCATTATTGAACATTTCAGTTGTTTCCACTGTCTTATTATTGTAAATAGATAACGTGAGCTGGTGCATGAACACTGGTGTAGTATGTCTCTTCATCTTGCTGTTATATATTGAGGAATGGCTCAGTCATATAGTACTTCTGTGTTCAGCTTTTGGAGAGCCGCCATACTGTTTTTCACAATGGCTGTACCATTATGCATTCCCACCAGCAGTGGATGAAGATTCCTGTTTCTCCACAACCTAGACCACTCCTGATGATTTCTTTTTTGTTTTTTTTTTTAAATCATTGCTGTTTTGATGAAGATGAGATGGTTATGTGTACATATTGTATTTACATCCCCCTGAGTTCTGATGTGGCGCACTGTAGGATAAGCACTGGCCTGCCAACCAAATGATTGGCAATTCAGACCAACCTGCCACTCCTTGGAAACCCATTACAGGATCACTGTGAATCAGAAGTGACTCAACAGCACTTAAAAACAACAATAATGGCAAATGAGGAGTCTTGGTGTGCTGCTCTAGGATAAACACTGGTCTGCTAACCACAAGGTCCTTGGACAAATGGGCTGCAAAATACATTTTTAAAGTGTTAAAAAGCAAAGATATCACTTTGAAGTCTAAAGTATAGCTGACCCAAGCCATGGTATTTTTAGTCACCTCATATGCATGCAAAAGCTAGACAGTGAAGAACTGATGACTTTGATTTATAGTGATGGTGGAAAATATTGAATATACCATGGACTACCAGAAAATTGAACAAATTTGCCTTAGAAAAAGACAGCCCGAATGTTCCTTAGAAGTGAGAATTGGCAAGACTTCGATTTATGTATTTTGAACATGTTATATTGCTCTGGTAGCGTAGTGATTACAAATTGGGCTGCTAACCTCAGGGTTGGCAGTTCAAATCTACCAGCTGTTTCACAGGAGAAAGATGAGACTTTCTGCTCCCGTAAAGATTTACAGCCTCAGAAACCGTGTACAGGGTCGCTATGAGTCAGAACTGACTCCACGGCACTTAACAACAATAGTCAGGAGGGACCAGTCCCTGGAGAAACCCATCATTGGGAAAGTTAGAGGGTCAGCAAAAAAGAGGAAGACCCTCAATAAGATGGATTGATATAGTGGCTGCAATAATGGTTCAAACATGGCAATTTTAAGGATGGTACAGGACCAGACAACGTTGTTGTTGTTGGTAAGTACCGTGGAATCGGTTCTGAGTCATAGTGACCCAGTACAGGGTTTCCGAGGCTGTAAATCTTAACGGGAGTAGAATGCCTCATCTTTCTCCCGTGGAACAGCTGATAGTAGGCATTCAGTACATATTTATAAATGAATACATTTTTAAGTGGTTGGGGGTTTTTTTCCCCTTAAATCAGAGGGTGAACTAGATAATCACCTAAAATACCATGCATCTCTAAGATAATACGATTCTTTAGAAGAGAAAGAAAGGAATGTATTTTATATTGTCATATTTAACCCCTAGTGGCATTGTAGGATAAGTGCAGGATAGCAAGGTCATTTTGAACTGCATGGTTGGCAGTTCAAACTCACCAACCGCCCCTTGGAAACCCTATATATACTGAGTCGCTATGAGTCAAAACTGCTCTGAGTTTGATTCTGAACTCATATAGCTAGTCAGTAAAATCCTGAGGTTCAAACCCAAGTGGTCTGACTGAAGAAC